TCTCCTGCCCCCTTTGACCCTCCTGGGGATTATCTTCCTCTGGGCTTGGAGGATCGTCTCCTTAAGGAGCGACCACTCCCCTTGGTCCCCTTAAATTATCCTTATTCACTCAGTTTAAAGATGTAAAGTTAGACTGGCAGGAGTAAATTATACAAACTAAAATTTGGCAGAAGCTTTACACATTTTCTGGACAGCATGCTAGTCAAGATGTACACACTAAAAGTACTCATTAAGTTTGGGAAACATAAGTAAATTTTGATGGTAGCTATCCAAGATCAAGATATTTGGTGATTCAAGCCAAGTTTTCAAATGCTGATGCCTTAATGAGGCATCAAAATTTTGCATCTGAACACTCAAATGATCAAGAAAGATATTTTCTGTATTTGGACTTCACGAAGAAATTCAATCATCTATCTGTTCTTTTATTTATTAAATGCTAGCAGTTCTCCCTTGTTTCCTTGGTGCATCCTGCTTATTCTGTGTTTGATGGGTTTTGATTTTGAGCTCCTGGAGCTGGAGAACACCTTTATTTCATATCTGGTTTATTATTGTCATCACTTCAATAAGTATTTTTACTTTACAGATACTTGTTGAAATTAAAAATAAAAAACACATATAATATTTATCTTAATGTCATTAATTCAGCCTACAGAACCAGAGCTTCATTAAAAATGAAACAAAAATGCATATATTTGGAAAGTACCTGTAGACTTCCTACCGGACCCTTTTTTGCTTCTTGGACTTCTTTTTCCAACTGTCTGTATTTCTAGAACAGGTTTTTGCTCTGTGTGGATGTCTGTATGGAGGCTTATAAAGCTCTTCCCAGTCTCCTCTTCTTTACTGCTCAGTGAATAATGTCTACTATCCAGGTTTTCATTATTATTGATACTGTCCTGCTCAACCTTTTCCTGCCTTCCCATTGCACTGTCACTGCTGGTCAGGACCTCAGTCCCATCACCAAATTGATTTTCATTTTCATCAGATGAAGGAGCCAAACGAGTTCCCACACCTTGTACCCCGTCACCGGCCTGAAGCCTGTCTTTTGAGACTATCTGGGGATCATTTGTAGGAAACTGTCTGTCATCCATTAGCGCGTCACTTGTGGAACTCCTTACACTCCAAAGCAGTTCTTAGGTCTAAAAATAAAAACAGGGAGAATGTTTATGATGAGGGCACAGAGAGATCCTAATGTCTAATTTCAGCCAAAATGGAATATTACACCAACCAAGTTAAATATTCCTCCAAAACAATGAGAGGCCCTTAAAAAACAGGAGCATTACTGCTTCAGTGGAACAAAGTTTCTCTGCATGTCACAACTGTTGTGTGTGTAGTACTGCTCTGGAGGACAACAGAGTATACTGTTGGGTATGTAATTGGCATGATTTATGTATCTATGGCTAATTCCAATTACCTGACCTATAATACAAACCCCTGACCTTCATGGCAATATTTATTTATTTGATGATACTCTTCCCAACAAAGGCTCAGAGAGGCTTATAATAAAAGATATTACAGTTTCTTTAAGCAGATAAAATATTAAAATAATCATTCTTGGCCACAAAAATCAACTTTTTATCTATATTTAAAAAAAAAATACAAAATAAAAATATTCTTTGTGCATAAAGCCTATATAAATAACTAACCAACCCACAATGAGGAATAAAGGTGCAGGGGAGACAACTCATGTTTGCCAGACACAATATTGCTTCAAATATGCAAATATGACAGCCCTGCCACAAGATTTGGATGCATATAAGAACTGTTTACCACATTAAATCATCACTTTGTTTTTAAAGAACATTAAACATATTCTCAGTATGAAGAGCAGATGGAACATGAATAAGAAACTGACCCCGCCGCCCACCCAACATGGATTGATTTTCCCTTTTTTATGCATGTGTAACTATCATGAATGTGTATCATAGCAAGAACAGACCTCAATCAGAGAGAGCTGTTCTACACTTGCTGTAATTATATGCTTGTATCACGTTTTTCGGTTAGTTTGTGAATTTTGGGTTTTGTTTTTTTTTGGGGGGGGGAGGGGAGGGGTACTAGCATTGCACTACTGCCCCAAGTTATTAAGCTATTACAACAATGCATTGTGTACATTGGGAAAGATTACCTGAAGTGTTTAAACAGCATAGCTAAAAAATTCTAACCATGCTTGTATTAAGACAGAACTTAAACAAGCTTCCAAATATTTTAAGGAAAAAGGAAAAATACATTTTACAGAGCATTATCTTAAAACAGATTATTTTCAAAATAATTATACTTTTTAAGGACAGCAAAAAATTAATACTTAAGGAAACCCTAGAATTTAAAAGAATATTCCTCCCATTGCCCAAGAAAGGAAGAAAAGACTTAAATAAAGCCAACATTTTCTAAAATTATTTTTCTAAGCAATTGCTGTAGTTAATCACAGACTGAATGGTCACTAGATGAATCACAAGAAAGATGAGCCACACAATGAAGTAAGAATGCATGTTATATGTTGTGCTCCCCCACCCCAAACAAAACTTAAGATACCTTTTACAGAAAATCGTATGGAAGATCCCCAAGGTCAAATGCACTAATTCTGGCACATGAATAGGTAAATCAGCATTATTCAACAGGTGGCCCATGAGGGGTTAAACCGCATAACCCCCAACTGTTGTGGCTGCAGGAGCTAGGGGCTCCAGGCACCCCATCCCTCCAGCTTCCCCTTCTTGCCCCTGCTCCTATCTCTGGGGGGTGGAGAGGTGCAGCCTGCAGCTCAGGGTGCTTGAGTGGCATGTCCCCATCCAAAACCATAGAACAGTCTCCTTTTCAAACCTAACTTTTTGTCCTGAAAATGGAATTTATAGACTTATTAATTGTTTAGTAATTATACATTCTGTGTTCATGCAATTATCGGAGGGAGGCAGTAATTTGATTAAATGAATGTATCGCATGTTATTGTCTGTATAACTATTAAAACTTGATTCTCCAGACGCATCTAATTATAGGCTCAAGACTGGAATACTGATTAGTTAAAAATATCACTCTGTATTTAATTTTTTAGAAACCTATTTGGCATTCTGCATATATATCTATTGCTTCTCCTTGAGATGACTACACTTACTTCATTTGGTAGAAAGAAAAGGCAGTGCTGGACCTTGTCAAGACCCACCAGAAATTCAAAGCTGCAATGAGTATTCACCCTCAAAGGGAGGCAAATCAAACTGTTCCTGAGGCCCTGGTAAGTGAATTCTAGCAAGCTAATGTGTCATCTCTCAAACTGTAAAAATAGTATTTTGAGAACAGGACAATTTTTCCTCCTTTTATCATAGAAGTATGTCATTCAAAGCAGTAGAGGCTTTTTTTAAAGTTTTAGAAACACTGACAAATATGCATTTTAAACTAGAGGCAATTAGATTTAAAACTAAACAATTTAGATTAGTTCTACCCTTTCTATTTGAAAACTGCTTTTTAAAAGTCATGCCAAAAAACCAATACACACAGCAAATATCAGGGAAAGATTTTTAATAAAATTAGCTACATTTTAGTTTTCTTACTTGTTACCATTTCAAAGAACTTTGCATATATTAACATACAATAGTTTATGAAGAGAGGAGTAATGCTACTCCCTACCGCTTCTCCCCCTTTTAAAAGCAAGTAACAGTCCAATTGCAAAGAGGAAATCACTAGAACTGGATGGACTGAAATTCTGGAGGATCAAGACTTTTACATATTTCATCATACCACTGAACTACATTTCTCCCTCTCAATGTATAGTGCAGGGAAAACAAGATCCTAATGTCCTTCAACAAGGTTTTTCTCATTACTGTAGTTACAGAGAAATGTTCCCTTGACAGTGAGTGACATGCTCTTTTCCCCACAAAAGAAACAAGCTCAGACAGAAATACTAATCTCCTTCCATTCTTTTAATGTCTAGTTTCAATCATAAACTTACACTTGCTTTGTTTTGGAGTACTACAGCTACCACACATTAACAGTTCTGTTGCTCAGTGGTTCTCATTACCTATCACAGTAAAACTGGCCATGAAAAATCCATGTCTTCCAACAGGGCTCAGCAGTGATACAAAATAAGTAAATGAGAAGCCAAAAAAGAATTCCTGCAGCAAAAATTTCTTTTAGGACAGTGCCAACATCTTGATTTTCCAATGGAAGCTTTTTGATTTACTTTGCGCTACCAACCCTACTAACATTCCAATCCTGACATTCACTGTTTTCATTGACAGGGCATTGGTTCTGCAAACCGTGAGATTTTATTCCTGTACTGTCTAAGGATGTTTAGCCCTTCCTGACTGAATCTCAAGTACTACCTTTTACAAAAAAATAAATTAAATTAGTGATGATTATATAGTAGTTGCTTCTCACATATATATTTCACAGGTTTTGTCACTGAAAAGTAATAGCATGCAAATAATACATTTACAAAAAGTATTGTGGTTCTTCCCATATAGGCTTTTGTGCTCCTTTCGCTGGTTTTGTTGCACTGAAATAAAAAGCTAACACTGAACAGAACTGAGCTGGTGAACAAAGATGGTTTGGTTGAAGTTGCCACACAGATTGATGCCATTGTTAAAAAGAGAGAGAAAAAGAGATTGTAATTACAGTTCTAGTCCAGAAGAAGGAAGAAAATAGTTTGCTAAATGGCAAAAAAAAAATATGCAGAGAGGAAATTACATACACAAAAAAAACCACTCTGTCCATGCACTCTTATGTACCCACGACTATGGTGTCTAGGTGCTATATTTATTCACACTGATTCATTTCTATTAAAAAGGGCAAGGCACTTCACTCATCCTTTTATTTCATAGTACTTTCATGTCAACAATTTTTTATTTTAGTTGCTTGTTTTTATTTGGAATCATGCTGTACTTCTCATTCAACATCCTTACTGAGGAAAAACCGACCTGTAATAACAGTTCTTGCATTGACTCAGGGTCCCTTCCTGATTCTCATAATGAAGAGCTCCATAGCCATAAATATATTACCAAGGACATCCTCCAGAGTTTCACTCAGCATCCCCAATCCCAGCTGTCATGGGAAGTCATGGCAATGGAAAATAGGAAGGGGGGGGTTTTACAATAACTCAGGTTGGGCATAATCCAGGATGATCAAGCCTTGTGCAGGGGGTTGGACTAGATGACCCCCGAGACCCCTTCCAACCCTAATTTTCTGTGGTTATAAAGTCTTTAAAGACTAGAAATAGAACCCTAAGCTGAATGTAGATTTGGAAAGCAAAACCAGAAAAGAACACAATGCATTTGTAGGATACAAAACTGCTGACCTTTCTTTAGCAAGCAGATGGCTATACATACAAGATGCATACTTTCATGGTTTTCCTTTCACTGATCTCAAAGCCCTCCACAAAGTAAGTATTATCATCTCCTTTTATAGAAAAGGAACTTAGGCACAAGGCTAACTTGCCAAAAAGGCGGCGTACGCCCGGTGGAAGGGGGGTGAAATCTCCAAAGAGGAGTATACCTCCTCAGCTCGGGCCTGTAGGCGAGCTGTTAGGAAGGCCAAGGCGGACATGGAGCTCGGACTAGCGTCCAAGATTAAGGATAACAAAAAGTCCTTTTTCAAATATATTGGGAGGATGAAGAAGGTGCCGGGTAATGTGGGACCCCTGCAGGATACGCTGGGCAAT